TATTCCGTTATCCCTGAAAATACAATATTCTATGTAATTATCGCCATAGTATTTATTTATCTACGAAAATATGTATCCCCAACTCCAGCCCCAATTCCAACCCCGACCCCAATTCCAACCCCAATTCCAACTCCAATCCCCACTAAGTTGGATGCTGATATAAAAGAATTAAAACGAGATATGCTGGCTCTAAAAAATGATCATGTAAGAATAGAAAAAGATTTGGAATGGAGGTCTGAAGTGTGAAGTCAAGGTTCGTGTTATATTACAAGTTTAGCGTATATTCTACATGTCGATTAATACGGTGCATATTTCTTTATTAGGGCGAGTATCCGTACAGAGCCACCAATCTGAATATCCCGATGAAACTCAAACTCTCTGGATCGAATTTACCGCCCTATTTGATGAGAGAAGAAAAAGAGTAAAATGCTCCCCCACAAAAATGTATAATGCTTTATCTCAAGAAATTAATCTCAGTCCAGCCACGCCAGCAAGTTTTTATCGGCACCAGAGATCCCTACTAAAGACCTCATTAGACAAAATCGAAACCTGGGTCGAGAAAGAAAACCGGAAAAAAGATAACTCTCTTATCATTAGTGGTAGCAGTAATAGCAATAGAAATAATTTTTCAAGTAGTAATATAATTTTAGACGATAATAATAACGACAATAACAACGATAGCTAGTGAGGAGTAGTGAGATGGAACCGCCATTTTTACTGTGTAAAAGGTCTAGGAACCGGCGGGCATGGTATTTCATGCTTTATTCCTCCCTTTAAACGCGATCTACTCCACATTTCTATCTATTCATTATTTTGTCGGCCAAATAAATTTTACATGTAATAATGCAAATATAAAGTTATAATTTACCTGAATTTTTGGGTTTTATTTTTAATAGCTTTCTGCAAAGCAGGATACTTAATAGTGCAAAAATATGTCAGAAGAAATGATTGGTCTGACAAGAACACCGTAACGTGATCCGTGACACAGTATTCATACGTGCGGAATCAATGAAGAAAATTCAGAAAATTCAATTATGTATCTTCTTCCAGAATGCCTTAACGCGTTGAAATATCGATGTAAGGTGAACCTTGCCAACGTTATTTATGATATTTTATAACGTAACTTATCATTCATGATTATGTAGCCTTTTGGGAGAACACGGACAAGCCTTCTCTCAAGAAATTCTTAGATTTTCGACTTTCAGCTGGCGACTTAGAAGATATGAAAACCGAATACGATAGTTATAAGAAAGAATTAGATTGTATCAGCAAATTCTATGCTGAAGTATCCGAATCTGGTCAAGAAGTGCTAAAGTGGAAAAATGTTTTCAAGGCAAGTGACGTGTATTATTATTTTTGGATCAGAGTAATGAGTGCACCAACTACTCTGCAAACTGCTTGTTTGTAGTGGGAACGACTGCTTGTCTGTTGGTGAGTTTGCTCCACGAACCGCCTTGAGACTCACCGATTCATTAAGTACACCAGCTACCCTGCAAACTGTTTGTTTGTAGTGGGAACGACTGCTTGTCTGTTGGTGAGTTATGCTTAATGGACTTTGAGCCACGGTGCTCGCGAAAGGTGTTTGTTTGTTCGTGATGTCTCCTGTTCTTGTTTAAATATGAATAAGAAAATTTTCAAACGAAGCTTATTAGGCGCAAATACTTAGAACTCTGTTTTATCAACTTATAGGATAGTAAACGATCATCAACGATAAAATGTTTTTGGAAACTTGTTGCCGAAAGGCAAAATATTGAGGCAAAGAAAAAGTTACAAGATGAAGAAGCAAAGGCGAAAGTTCAGGAGTTGCAGGTACTTCACTTATTTTCTTTCCCCAATCTAAAATGTTAAAACCAAACGTTTACTTTTATCCATTTCCTGTACACAGACGACTCAGCATATAACCATCGCCTCAGTGGCGACGAAACAAATCCAACAATATGCCACGTCAACTACCACCAGCATTGCAAAGAGGTTCCTTAATACTGACAACGAAAATACAACAAAACGTATCAGAACTCATAAGGTGATAACTGGCATTGAGTTTATTTTTGCGTGCTTTAAAAATTCTAATTAATTACTCATTTCAATATGAACAGGATAGCAAAGAAGATAATAGTAATGATGGTACCAAAGACGATTCTTTTTTGGTTTCATGTGAAAGTTTATCTCCTGTCTCTTCCAAAGATCATTCCGAAAATAATAATTCTTTGATATCGGATGAAACATCTTCCAATACTGATAAAGATGCCATAGATGGATTTTTTTCTGGTCCGTTTACAGAGGTTTCGCATAATCCGATAATGCCATGTATCCTTAAATGCGGTGAAAACTTCACTGATGTATGGAATAAGTACTTGCTTAAATTTGACTTACATCAATGGAGTGTGGAACACGATCTTATTGTAAAAACATTTCAAAACAATATGCTCAAATCTCTGTGTTCGAAAGAATGTTGGAAGCAAATTCGAGGTTCACAATTACATCTTGCAGAAGAAAATTTATTGGAAAGACTTATTCCCGTATTTCAAAAGGTCGAAAATGACAATCGATCTTTATTTCAGAAATATGCACAGGTGTGGACAACTATAGGCGAAGGTGACATTACCCTATTTGAGCAGTATTCTCTTTTAGTAATTCACATTTTTATAAGCGAATTCACCAGCAAACGAAATATAATTTCGCATCCAACAACTACTGAAGCAATGTGGAGCACATTAATGTGTTTTATTACAGGACATGCATTGCGTAATGGAAACATAGAGTACACATGGGGAGAAATCGTGTTAAATTCGACAGCAACTAGAAAAGATAATGGTCGGGATATTCTCTCTCTTCCAAGAGTTGCAACAGGACATAAGGGGGATGGGACGGGATTATCGGATGATGGGCGTGAATGTTTCGTTTTAGAAATTTCATATGCACCACAAGACCAAGATAGGCGGAAATCAGCTGAGGATCTTTATAAACTACTCCGAGAAATGCGAGATATATTGCATATATCTAAAAAAGAAAAACGGGAATTAGGTTATAAGATACCCAAAGAGGGTTTGTGTGTATATGGTTCGCAGTGTTATGGGTATACACAAGATTTGCTTGAGATGGAGTACATTAAGCCTTTTTATGTAGTTCGAAAAATTGGATCGGTAAATATTTCCAATAATGATATCACAAAACTCTCTTTTGTTTTGCGGATGATGTGGGCATTTAAAGAGAGGGTTGTCTCTGCAAATGCAGTATGGAAAAACTTAAAAAGTCGATATGAAATTGATTCAACATTAGAATCATCTGATGATGGGGATGATTTTACAAAGGTGACACCAAAGAAACAATCAAAATATACTTAGTTTTTGGTTGGAATTATTATTTTTAATTATATGCACGTATGCTAATTTCATCAATGTATTAAATCTCATGTATATATAATATATAATATATTGATACACTATGACTATAATTGCATTTTGTAATAACATTGAGATCGTAATTCTACATAGTTTGCATAGTTAATTATAATTTATTATTCGGATTTTGTTACTCTGCAGTTATACATTAATGAATATGTAAAAGTTATTGTTAAAACATGGAATCCGAACTAGAATTATCGAGACCATGGATTAAGAATCTTATGAGGGATATAAAAATGTTTTCCGAAGTAATGTCCACTGGACAAGCTCTTGAACCTAGATCATTAAAAATAAAGAGATCGATGAATTACTAAAGAAGTTGCAATACAAACTTGATCTTTTTATTAATAATAAAATTAGATTTCGCTCTGAAATAGACAATCTATCATCCAAAGATATAAAGAGCTGATGTATCTATATTATTTGGATTAGAGGATTTTAACGTGATTGATGAGAAAAACTAAATCCATTTTCATTTTCGCTGATCAACTTTTCTATTTAGCTATTATAAAAGTTATATTTTTCCCAAATATTGGTTTGAATCTTTTATTTTACATTGAAATGTAAATCGTACAATAAAGTTAATAAATAAGGTAACGAAAAAATATATATGCATTATAAGATATAGGTTAAACATATATGTTAAACACTTTAGATATTAGTCATATATTATGAATTATAGGTCGAAAATTTTGGAATTTTGATTAACGAAACCCTTAATTTTTTGTATCCTTTTAGGAATAACAATTTCCGGTTTTTCATCATACCATACCTCAAGAAGAAAAATTCCATTATCCTGACACATGGATCTTTTTTGCCGATCTCGATTAACAATATCCTCGAGCTTTTTAACATCTTTATACCAACCGGTGTTATGAAACCGATGCTGATTTCCTTGCACCTCTAATGCAATTTGGTATTTCTGAAAGAAAGCATCAAGTTCTAACCCATTCAGAAAAGAAGGACAGTACTCAATTATCGGTTCCTCATTAAGAATTTCCTTGGCTATTTGAATGCATTTAGTCTGAAATTTGCGATTTTTCTTACCAATCACAAGGTGGCTAGATTCTGATTTCTTTGTAAATTCCTCTATAATTGGTTTTAATTTTGCATTTCTTGTCTCAAGCTCAAGAATTGTAGTCTTAATACGCTCAAAAAGGATTGGATATTGCAAACCTGTTTTTAATTTAGCTATATCAGCCTCATTTTTAGCATATTCTTCTATAATTCGTTTTAAAAGTTTGGCATTCTCATCCATAAGTTTTATATTCTCAGCCTTAATATCTGCATTCTCAGCCTCAAGCTCGGCTTTCTCCGCCTCAAGTTCAGCTAGTCTGACTTTCTTAGCTTTCTCATCTAATAAATTTAATTCGGATTGCATTATTGATAATAACTTTTGTTTTATATGGTATAGATTTATTTAATACATCGTATATAATGGCGAAATACACATGCAAACTAAACATGATTTTTATGATAAATCGGCCACCAGGGCTAGCTTTATTGATATAGTAAAAAATCTTGATTGAGCTTTGATACATATGTAACCTCTTATGACATGTAGTGCCGAAAAAATAACACATGATATATTGTAATCAAAATTTTTCCCGTTATCTTTTTTTTCCAAATTCCGATAAAGAAACATAACATATCGTCTGTTAACTTGTAATTATTATTGATAATACAGAAAATTACTGTTATACATTACACGAAAAAATAACACATGGTATGTTGTACGCCCTCTAACAAAAAATCTTTATTAATGAAATATACGATAAAATACAGGATAAAAATACAAGATATATATACGGTAAATATACAGGATAGGGCGTAGCCCATTGCTCTGCAATAAAAATATATGATAAAATTAAGTACGTAATGGTGAAGTAACAGTGGGACTGTGTTGTGCATTTCTTGGAGGGTGTGCATCGGCTTGTTCTAAAGCTTGCATAAGTAAATTTTGGTTTACGATCATGATGTTTCTAAATATTAAAAGTAAATGAACAAGGGGTTCCACGCGCCATGGAGTATTTTTTGCGAAAGGCATTTCAGCC